TCTCTTCTCCCCCCACCAGCACTGGGGCCTAGGGCAGCGGTGGGGAAAGGGTTTGGGGAAGGAGGTCTATTTACTCAGGCTCTGTCTATACTACGGCTTTTGCCGGAAGAGGCAATGCAAATGAAGTGATTAACATTTTGTCGTGCTTCATTTGCATAATCTATTCCGAGCCGTTTTATGCCCGGGGAGGTCTTGCACAAAAAGGAAACATCCGCACTACTTGTTTTTGCACAAAAATGGCTTGCAATCGATTAGCATTTTTCATGCTTCATTTGCGTAATCTCTTCCTATGTAGAGATAGCCTCAGCGGGCTGACAGGCAAGCCCTGCTGGCCACTCACTCCCTTGTTGGTGTGTCTGCTCCCAGTGGATACGCTGCAGTCCTGTTAGCCACTCCCTATATTCACTGCCCCCAGTGGCCACTTTCATATTGCATCCCTCGGAACAGAAGCCCTTCCCTTTGCTTGTTATGGAAAACTGTCCTTTTCCAGGGGCTACTGGTTTTCCTGGCACAACCAAACCCTGATTTTGCTTTACATTAGGATAAGAGAAAGCAGCAAACCAAATTTGGTGGCCCGAGCTCTTACCATATAGAAGGAGCTCTTGAACAGACAGACTTGCAGGAGAACCAGATTAGCCACATTTCCTCAAGTGTGCTGTCTCCACTGTTTTTTAGTTTCAGCCTTTCCCCCAGCAAATCTGGTCAGCAGAGACTTGGTTAAAAACAAGGATTTTAGTGATAGGCTAAAGCAAGAAGCCTCCACTTAAACTACCCCAATTCAATGGTGTTTTACTTTTGTACTTTGAAGCTTTGACAAATAACTAGATTCTTATTGGTTGATATAAACATCAAAATAGGTTGATTTGCAACCACCTACGCTCTTTATATGAAATTGATTTCTTTGTGGGAAGCAGGAGCATACATTATACCAACCCATTTTTAAGCAATTATCTCATTTAACATATTCAGAATCTTATTTAAGTGTTAGAAAAAGTGAATGAAACATTTACTAGATTTTTTTTTATTCTTGATTTGAATCATGGTATTTACAAAGAAAATGGGATTCAATTAGAAGTGTACAAAACAGCATTTTACTGCTGGTTTTAATAGTTATTTCTTTGCCTAAGTGAAGTCAGATTTTCAAAGAACCACAAAGTCCATGTTTTAAGACTCAGTGACAAATCCTATTTAGTACATCACTATTTAAAATCTGTCTCTCAGAAGCAGAACATCACATTAAGCGTGCTGTTAACTGAATTCAATGAGTCTCCTGCATTCCATCTGACTTAATTTGCAATGAGAACACATCTTCGGGAGGTGGGTAACAGACTTCCTCTCATTCTCACATTAGGAAAGGTTCAGAGGGGGCCAAAATGCCACACAACATGTAAAAGAGGACTCAGTCACATAGCCAGTATATCAGAAGTTAATCTCTGACATTCCACCATGAACCCAAGAAAGTGTACACAGATTCATTACTGGGACTTGACTGCCACCCAACTGTAGTAAACAAAAGGAATGGAGAAAAGTAACTTCAAATATTTCATTTATCTGAATATGAAAGAAATACAAACCTGATCCTGAACAAACAGGAAATGTAAAAGAGTAAAAAGACCCCCACCTCCAATGACATTAATGAAGGTGCACACTGTAATTCATTGCCCAGTGTTTTCAAGTAGAGACTCAGTTTCACTCACACCAAAAGCAGAAATGTGACATTCTTTCCTACATGTTGGGTTGATGCATCAGCATGAACTACACATTTCATGGTGGTCTCTGGCCATCTGTGCCAACTTGTAAATGAGTATTTTTAGAAAATAGCTACCAGGAATTCAAATGGTTTAAGCACACCTGAACATTCATTGAGACTATCAGTTAAACACTGCAGAATTACAGTACTTTTGAAGAGGAGACACTCATCATGGTTTCCAATAACTAAAACAACCTTGAAAGGGAAATGTTTGTATTATGTTTCCGTCATATGCCCTGTCAAGGCCCAGCAATTCAGCTTTTAATTTTGCATCAGACTCTTCTGAGAGCAACAAATGTGTTACCCATCAACTGTTCCAGTAGGACCCATTAGTTGAGTCAAATTCAAGGAATTTATATTTACATACTGAAAGGTTAAAAAAAATAATAAATCAATGATTATACTGTGCTGTTCATCTAATTTCACTGCCTCATGAAGAGTTCAGTTAATCCTTTGGTTTACACTCATTTATGAAGAAAATGTAGTGCAGCATAGCAGTATAGACACACACTGTTTGTTCATCTGAAGGGTTTTTAATGTGAAGAGAAAGGAAGCTTTGGATTCACCAAGTAGGACTGGGTTTAGCCATGTTAAAATCAACTGAAATATTGGCAAATCACGTTTCCAAGAACACTTTTCACACTTTCCTAAAAAAAATTCTCATTGCATGGACAAATCTTTCAACAGCACATCCAACAGAAGTGATGTCATGTTACAGAGAAAGCTAGATGGATTAGTTTCCTCCCGCTTAGCCCCCCGAGCTTTGCAGAAAAACCAGAATTAGCTTGTGATAAGAAAAATGGCTGGGGAGTTTCCTCCCTGATTCAAAACTTAAGTTATGTTGTTTTCAATGTACACACACGCTTCACAGTACAAAGATATAAAGATGAGAAAGTCTCTTCAAATATGAAAAAAGCTCAGAGAAGCTTTGTAGTCCAGGGCTCCAGGGCAGAGCTTGTGTCACTAGACTTGAGGACTATTGGGATGATGTGGCCAGCCACAAACTGTCTTTCAGAAGGCCATAACAGCATTCTCTCTTGCTATGGCTGGGTGGATAGACGGTTATTCCTTGTAAGAGGGTTCTTTTAAAAAAAGATCAAGAAAGAAAGTACGACAGTCATGCAGCTGATCGCCGGCGGATCACAAAAAACCCTCGCTGTAGCTGTCCTAGATAGATCCTCATTTTTGTGCTGTCACTGGTCTTCCTCACCCAAATCTGCATGAGAAAGAAAGAAAGAAAGAAAGAAAGACAGACCCAACAAGATTAGAAATACCAAAGAAAGTCTTTCAGGACTCTTTAGTGTCCCCCATAAGAGTTGCTGTCTGCAGCTCCCCTAGTTTCTCAGGAAAAATAAAAAACACAGGTTTTTAAAAGCCACCTTGAGCCAATCACCAGCTTTATCTTGTTCTGTTTCCAACCCTCTATTATCAGGAAAAGTAATTACTCTTTCTAGGCATCAGGCAGGTGAAGTTTTCTACTGTGACAGCTCACATAAGAAACCTTTAATTCAGCTTTAGCTAATCAAGAGTAAGTCTCCCTAGATCCACAGATCATAAAATTACTTGTCCTGGGATTTGCTCAGACAAGTTACTATTAGTCAAATGAAATGCTTGCCCTGATTTGTTCACTGAAGCATTTCTCACACTATTAAATTATAAGTTGTATTAGAAGATAAAAGTGCTTGCTTTTTAAACACCTACACTAAAAAATTCATACTCCTGCAGATACACAGTCTATTTAAAAGGACAACAAATTGCATCTATAGAAGTAGCCAATTGGAAAATGAAGTTTTTTAAAATCAAAGTTACTGTAAAGGATTCTGGAATCCCAATCAGATACCTTTAAAACTAAATCTGAGCATATGTCCATCTGGGTTTATCATTTTAACTTCAAAACTTTAGAATGTGTTTTAAACTACAATGAAAACCTATTTTCTTCTTTTCAAAAAAACCTTAGTGTTGCTGCAATTATGAACAGTGTACAGTATTTTGCATTATAAATATAAACAATTTCAAATTTAGTCCAACCAATTCACATTTTAGTGCTGGCTTTCAGGTAGCGATATATTCTTAGCCATTGACGTACACCAGTCACAAGGTGGTTGTTGTAGACTATACAACTTTCTATATTTCTAGCTATTAACTATTCCTTTCACTTTAGGAAGCGTCTCCCAACATCTCCACTAATTTCAATATTTAAGGCTTTTAACTTTATTCACAAAAATTCAGCTTTCCATAGAAATCTTATCCCATTTAGCAAGTTTTAATTCCAGGGTAAGAGTGACATCTGTCCATCTTTTCTCAGACCTTAAAGAATTCCATCTGTCCCAATTAGGAGTATATATGGAGCCTAGCCAGGCCTGCTGACAATGGGAGAGGAGGAGGAGAACTGCCCTGGCAATTCTGAAAAGCCTAGGGTTCCTTGCCTTTGCCAGCCCTACTGCAGCAGTGACTGGGTTCCCCAGGCCCTTTAAGTCATCGCTGAATTGCCACACTCCAGGCAGCAATAAGGGGCTGAAGGAAACGGAAGGGGGGGAGGGGACAGGAGAAACACTAGCATGGTGTGCTCCGGATGGGGTTGAAGGCTGGTGGTCCCTGGACCCATACCTCTAAGGCCCCTTCCACAGTACACCTTGCCCTGGGGACTGTCATGGCTGTTTGCTCCCCTTAAGCCCAGTACACACATTTCCCCCATCATGGTTCCTTTCAGAGGGATCTTCCATGCCTTTCTGTTTGCAGCTGAAATGCCACATGGGAGAAAGGTATTAACAGCTTCTTTCCCTCTTTTCTCTAATCCAGTGCTGGAGCTGGCTGCCTCTGAAAGAATTGTTGTGTTCCACTTTAAGAAAATGGAAGTCTACGTTATCTTTTTGCAATGGATTTTCTTAAATTTCAGTTCAGGCCATATATCATTTCCAGCATTAAGATCCTTAATGTTAATTGTTATAACCTTAAATTAAATTAGCCATTTCTGTGTATGTTATACTATATATGTTGGCATTTTGCTACAAGTTCATTTAAATAATCAAGCCATACAGCAGGGATGGGAAACCTAAGGCCCAGTGACCTGCCTCTGACTCCTGAGGCTCAGAGCTCCCTAAGGCATTAGGGAGCCTGCACTGGTGAGGGCTGGGGTTTTTTTATTCCTTACTTGTGTGCAGCCCCTAACTGATTTTTCAGTGGGTCAGTGGGTAGAACGGGGCCACCATTTCTACATGTGAAAGGTATTTAAGTCTCCCGCCAGATTAATCCTTTGCTGCTCCTCAACAGAAACAACCAGTTACATGTAATGTTTCTACAATGTGGATTTTTGGCCATCAAGACTGATCCAAGGCCATTAATATTGATTCCATCCAGTGCTTAAGACAGACTTGGCTCTGGAGCCAAAGGTGAAACCTCAAACCGTCAGTCAAACTTTTCATTCAGCGGTTATTTTTTGAGGGAACTGTCACTGCAGGTAGACAGTAGGAAACCAGAGGACTAAAATGCATCATAATCCAGATCTTTATTAATGACCTGGATGAAGGGACAGATTGCACCCTCAGCAAGTTCACAGATGACACTAAGATAGGGGGAAAAAGTAGATACACTGGAGGGCAGGGATAGGGTCCAGAGACAGATTAGAGGATTGGGCCAAAAGAAATCTGATGAGGTTCAACAAGGACAAGTGTAGTGTCCTGCACTTGGGATTGAAGAATCCCAAGCACTGTTACAAGCTGGGGACTGAATGGCTAAGAAGCAGCTCTGCAGAAAAGGATCTGGTGATTACAGCGGATGAGAAGCTGGATATGAGTCAACAGTGTGTCCTTGTAGCCAAGAAGACTAATGGCATATTAGGGTGCATTAGGAGGAGCACTGCCAGCAGATCCAGAGAGGTGATTATTCCCCTTTATTCGGCACTGGTGATGCCACATATGGAGTATTGTGTCCAATTCTGGGCCCCCCAGTATAGAAAGGATGTGGACACATTGAAGAGGTCCAGTGGAGGGCAACCAAAATGATTAAGGAGCTGGAGTGCATGATCTACGAGGAGACACTGAGGGAGTTGGGTCTATTTAGTCTGCAGAAGAGACGAGTGAGGGGGGATTTTGATAGCAGCCTTCAACTTCCTGAAGGGAGGTTTCCAAAGAGAATGGAGAAAGCTGTTCTCAGTAGTGACGGATGGCAGAACAAGGAGCAATGGTCTCAAGATACAGTGGGAGAGGTCTAGGTTGGATATTAGGAAAAACTATTTCACTATGAGGGTGGTGAAGCCCTGGAATGGGTTACCTAGGGAGGTGGTGGAATCTCCATCCCTAGAGGTGTTTAAGTCTTGGCTCGACAAAGCCCTGGCTGGGTTGATTTAGTTGGGGTTGGTCCAGCCTTGGGCAAGGGGCTGGGCTTGATGACTTCCTGAGGTCTCTTCCCGCTCTATGATTCTGTCATTTTTGGTGCACAATGAGGAACACAGAAGAGGGATCTCTATAAATCAATTGATTTAAATAGGGGTGTCAAAGAACAACCCAAAACTACCTATTAAAGTTATAAATATTACAACCCACTGACACTGCAAAGCAAGTATTGCTGGCTGCACAGTTACAAAGATTATGAAGAAAACATTAATTCTGCCGCACCTCAGATTTAGCTTCTGACATATCACACAACCACATCTTTCCCTGGAATTGATATCACAATTATGATTTTTTAAACCAAAATGACAGACATCATATTTGCTTCTCTGCACTAACCTTTGTCATGGTCTCATTATGAACAACACTTAAAGAAGCTCATTACCTCATTGGCTCCTACTGAGCTGATCACACAGCTGATCTTAGCATTCTCTTTCGACTCCAGGTAAATAGCCTGGCTCTTGTGGTACCTGCAAAAATCACAATTATGATTTTTTAAACCAAAATGACAGACATCATATTTGCTTCTCTGCACTAACCTTTGTCATGGTCTCATTATGAACAACACTTAAAGAAGCTCATTACCTCATTGGCTCCTACTGAGCTGATCACACAGCTGATCTTAGCATTCTCTTTCGACTCCAGGTAAATAGCCTGGCTCTTGTGGTACCTGCAAAAAACAATTCATGAATCTGTTAGCTGACCAGGAGGTCTTATCTACTGCTTGTGAAGATTTAGAAAGGCTAAGTGGTTCATAAATCAAGCTACATGGATTCTATAGGCATGGGAAAAGTAACAAAGGATTTTTGCTTTTTCAGCACATTCACATAGCTCAGGATTTAAGCCCATTGCCCTCCTCACCACCTGCACTCAAACATTACAAAGTTATGTACTCAGATTCTCCCACTCCACTAATTTCAGGGAGTAATCAGCAAGGATGTAAAAGCAGTTAAAACAATTAACTGGTTAAACAATAATACAGATTTAACCCGTCAGTCACTGGTGGGGAAGTGCAGGGCAGCCAGGGCGGGGTCCTGCTGGGTCTCTGGGGTAAGAGTCCCATTTACCAGATGTGCATTACAAAGTTATGTACTCAGATTCTCCCACTCCACTAATTTCAGGGAGTAATCAGCAAGGATGTAAAAGCAGTTAAAACAATTAACTGGTTAAACAATAATACAGATTTAACCCGTCAGTCACTGGTGGGGAAGTGCAGGGCAGCCAGGGCGGGGTCCTGCTGGGTCTCTGGGGTAAGAGTCCCATTTACCAGATGTGGCAAGCGTAGCTAAAATCATGCTGGCCCAGCTGCACAGCTGGGATTAGGGATGTTAAATTTAGTTTAATCAACTAATCCACTAGTCGATGGATTGTTCATCAACTAGTTAAGAAGTGGGGGAGCTGCAGCAGAGTTAGCAGAGTTTTAGCTCCATTGCAAGTGGATACAATTTCAAGTAAAACATGATGAAAATCTCTCCCTTTCATTTCATAATACCCTTTTATCTCAAGATCTTCCCTTAACTTTTACCTTCTCCACCCAAGAATATGCAAAGGGATTCCAGAAGGTAGCCCCTGTACATTAGGCATCAAAGGTGTATCAGAACAACTGTTCTAGAAAGAGAACACTAACTCCATTTAAACATGATGCTAGAAAAAAAAAATAAAGGGAAACTGCAACACAAAAATACTGAACTGGTAGTTAACAAAATGCACGCAAACAACTTAACAATGCAGTTAATAAACAAAGCCAAGCAACATCAATATTAATCCAAGCCAATCCTAATTCACATGGCTTCTTATTCAACTGTCATGATAAAGACATCTCAGTATATGTAATTTTTCAATAATCCAAATAGACCTCAGATTCCTGGGGATAGTAAGGAAACTAGAGACATTGTGTGTTGATAGAGCTGTTTAGTCTTGCAAATGTGGGAATTAAAAGCTGTGGAAGCGAGGTTTTGCAGGACAAGTTATACGCACAATGAATGATTGTATTAGTTATTATGTACACAATGTGTTAGAAATGAGATTGCAAAGATGATGAGTGCTTGGGTATGACATCTGGATGATAAACCATTGATGAGATTAATATGGATTTTTATTCTATTTTTTAGTTCGTGTGCAGATAAAAAACCTTGGGCAACCTTAACAAATATCAGAGTTTTCAAGTTTCCTCTTCCCACATAATCTGCCAATCACTGCCTTGAAACACAAATATTTGCCCTATAGGCACTTGAGCAGACAAGACATACACATTCAAGGTGTTTGAACTCTTGGAAAAGAGAGAACAGTTTTAGAAAGTCAGGAAGAAAGTTACGTTATTGAAGTCTAACGTTTGATTTCTCATTTCCTAAATTCTCATCCTACCCAAAGTTATCAATTAGTAGCAGAGTCTGTATTATAAGCAGGAAATGCTAGGATTTCACATGACATATGCTGTATCCAGCTTGTGCAAGCTTCTTTTCTTATAGAATATTAGATAAAATATGGTCTTATTTTGTCTAAGGGTTATGCCACAGGGTAATTCAGTGCTTTTAAGTGCCTGTAGAAAGCTAACATTAAAGTTATGAAAACAAGAGGCAAACTCAAGGATTCCCCTTGTTAATGCCGTATTTAAATTATGCTAGGTCTTTCTTTTGCCCAACCTATGGTTATCCTATAAGCAGGGATCATATGCAAATAATCTATTTCAGTATAATTAAATGAATAATTTTAGTCAAGAGTACAGATATGCTCTATAGTTACCGAAGCATGGCTATATTTCCACCTTTGTCCCTATTATGACACTCCTGACATTTAGATCAGGTGTCTGAGCATCAGTACCTTTGCACAGTTATTTCCTCAGGAACTGTTCAGCATGCAGATGCTTGCACTCTGACTGGCTGATAGCTATTAGAGTACAATAATTTGCATAATCTGTTATTTCCACAACAGACATTCTATAAAATATGAAAATCTCCAACAATTAGTTCTGTAATCTATTGACTGACTCCCATACTTAGCATTTTCAGTTTATGTGCTGGTAAAGAAGATTAGAGGCTCAGTTTTACTCCATTCACATGAGAAAAGATATCCACCATAGCAAATTCAACAGAAGACATTGGGTTAACAAAACAGACAGGAAAATTAAATTTTCAAAAAAATGTTAAACATCCAAGGAAAACTTTATCATTTTCAGGAGGGACCTGCAGCTGGTTCCCTGATAACTTAATATTAACCTGGAGATTGGGCCAATGAACATGTATTCAGCAGAATTATCTTGTACAAGGAAAGTGTTCTCAAATTTTACAACCCTGTTTGAAAATGCCTGCCTGAAAACCACAATACTAGGATATTACGAACCCTCACTATCAGGTTGGTAGTAAGCAGAAGTTGCAATCACCGGACAGCTCTTCATTGTCTATATGAAGTGATGGTGTCTTAGTTATGTGTTAAAATACATACTTCCACATCACAAACTAAAACCACTATTGCAATAGGCACCCTTACTGACAAGAGAACAGTGGGGCTGAAGAATGACTTATATTTTCACCAGCTGAGACAGTCATTCATTAGCACATACCCATAACAATGAACACTATAGAAACCCTTAAGCTAGGTATACAGCAGAACTAATGGAGAGTAGCAAGATGATTAGGGGAAATCAGATACTACCATTGCCTATTTGTTGATGAAGAGGACTTGGTTGCTCAAGGTGGTCCATTGAAAACAAAGGACAAAAATAGAAGGGGAAAGGTGGAGTAGGATAATATAATATATGGAGATATACTTCTCTCATAGAGCTGAAGGGGACTTTGAGTGGTCATTGAGTCCAGTCCCCTGCCCTCATTGCAGGACCAAATACCATCCCTGACAGATTTGCCCCAGATCCCTAAATGGCCCCCTCAAAGACTGAACTCACAACCCTGGGTTTAGCACGCCAATGCTCAAACCACTGAGCTATCCCTCCCCCCAGGATAAAATTTACCTGGGAATTTTTTAGCTGGCTTCTAGGAGAGAAGGAAAACTTGCTTTAACAGGAAAACTCTTAGTTTATTTTACATCATAGAAACTGTCATAAAAGGCTAACATATTGCGGCTGGATGAAGCTTCATCTTCAGCTAGGAAATATTTAACACAATGCTGAAATGTCTTATTGAAAAACGCATTCACAAGATGAAAGGAGCACTATCTGAGGGACAAATGGAACTCAAACCAAAGCCTCAGAGATGAAACACTGGACTTCACACTGGTGGTCTGAATAATGGAGACCTCTCCCGTGCCAGACTATAAAATTCTCCTTTTTTAATACTATGCACAGCTGAAGTTAATATTAAAGAAGAAAAACAGTAGTTTGGCTGCAGACCACACTTTTAGTCATTGGGGTAAAATGGCTAAGGAAAAAATAGACTAATTCCATATCCAGCTGGGATTCCTATTATTAACTCTCCATTTTGTAAAAGAAGTTTGCCAAATGTAGCTACAAAACCTCAGGGAGTCCATTTCTAGCCTTAAACATTACTTATTTTGAGAGAAATGTCCTTTGTGTCTCCTGTCAGGAGGAAGAGAAAGTAGTCACTCCTGAGCTGTCAGAGTTCATTATTTTGGTGCACGCTAGCAGCTTCAGGTTTAATATGCATTTCAAAAAAAAAAAAAAAAAAAAATTACCCTCCCACCACACTGAGATACTTTGTTATTTTAAAATATCAGCTACTTTGCAGAGGCATTATTACTATCAATCAAAACGTGAGTGGAATTATTCTAGTGAAAATGTAAAATAACAAAGCAGTACAAGACCCCAGAAAAAGGCAATGGCTACAGTCTTTGACAATGCAATCCCATGATAACGGAATGTGGGTAGATACAAATATTTATGCTACAATGCAATACCTCCTAACCACATATCATTTATAGAGTCCTTTCATGCTTTTGGGAAGCTTAGCTGGGGCCCAACTGTGTACTTAGTTGAATTTTGTGGGAATTTTGCTTGAGGAAAAAAGATGCAAGAACAGCCTCTGTTTCTAAGTGGGAAGACATAAGCCTTTTACAGATATGTCTGAGCTTGAAATTCCAGGGAGTGAAGTTTAATTATTACTATTAATCCTGGTTTCAGAAAAAGCAAGGAAAAGAATAGTAGTTTTAAATTTAAAAAAAAAAAGTTATTTAGAGCGAAAAGAACATAATGCCCTTGTGAAAAGATTCAATCTGTTCAATCCTAGTTTAAGCCACAAATTCAAGCTCCACTCCAAACCTCAGAAGGTTGGCAACAGGAAAATTACTTTAACAAACTCAGCAAAATTTCAGCAGTGCTAGGATACAAACTTTTAGTTAGAGCCTTCTGCTTAATAGGTAAAAAGAACAGGCTTTAAATCTGATGAGAAAATGAACTACCTTCTAAGTGCTCATCTTGAGTATAACTCATTTCACATGCCACCCATTCAGTGAGAAGGTTATAGCAATTTCCCTTGGTTTTCTGAGCTATCATTACTCCAAACTAGTCTACAACACACGGCTCAACAGTCAAAGTAACACATATAATGCAAGAGTCATGTAAATTGCTTGCTATTTTAAAAGAACTAGATTGCATCCTTGATTGCTCACTCTTGCATATTTCATAGGATTAAGCTTAAAAGGGAAGATCCAGTGAAATAAGTCCTCTGTACAAAATGACTATCTTCCCTGATGTATTGTGAGGCTTCAGTAGTTATATATCCATAAAAATTACAGAGATAAATCTGATCATCATTTCTGAAGTTGGTTCTTGTGTGTGGGTTTGATCTTTAAAGGTTACTTGGTTTTAGTTATTAGAAACATTTTTCATTCTACTCTGCTGGTGCATAATATTTTACTACATTCTGCCACCTTGTGGCATAACATTCTAATGTACCATAAAAGTTGAATTAAGAACTTCCAATATTGTAAAACGCTTCCGCGTCAACACCAGTATATTTGGATAATAGCTTAATGGATTTGTGATTGTATGCACATAATACTACATTTAATGGTGGCTACTTTTTCTAATGTTAGTTTTAATAAAAACATTTCAAAGTTCTAGTAGTAAATGGAGCCCCAATAACTGCAAGTTACATATCCATAAATATCCTTCCAGTAATACCAGAGGGAAGCACACTATTACTCAGAGCTCTGTCAACACTTCTTCTGTACAGAGTTATAGCCACTTTTGAGTCACACTGATCACCACATGGAGTAACTGGCTAGCTCCTGCGTTTTAATAAAAACATTTCAAAGTTCTAGTAGTAAATGGAGCCCCAATAACTGCAAGTTACATATCCATAAATATCCTTCCAGTAATACCAGAGGGAAGCACACTATTACTCAGAGCTCTGTCAACACTTCTTCTGTACAGAGTTATAGCCACTTTTGAGTCACACTGATCACCACATGGAGTAACTGGCTAGCTCCTGCTCAGAAACATGTTTCACGTCTAAATCAAGTTATTTTTGCTTTCTTTTGTCACTACAGAGCTCAAAATGCCACATTTTTTCACCTAAACCTACCATCTTTTATCATAGTAGAGTTTGCCATCCTCAATCCGGGCCTCAAACCGCTGTGCTGGAGATTCTGCAGGAGTTGCTGGCAGGTGTTCTGGAGACGAAGGAGAAGCTAGAACAGAAAGAAGTTGTGCACATGCTAGTCTGTATATACATCAGCACATATACATGCAGCAGGAAGTCTGACTATAAGAATAAGTCTTAGCTTCAGAGGCATTAATGCAATTTCATTGACTAAAGAGGTGTGGTATGAACAGAGGAACACTAATTTATTTCTGCTTTGACAAAAGTGCTGTTTGGGCAAGTCATTTCACTCCGGTTTGTCTCATTTTACTCAAAAGTGCATCTGCCAGGCTTCTCTCAAAGAGCTTGAAAAGCAATAGTCAATCGTAGTGGACAGACAGAATGGACTTTGAATTAGCTTCTGACCCTTGCTATGTAACCAACCTCAAAAACTGAAATAAAGCCAGATATGAACACAAGTATCCAGACCCTTCTAGTGAATTGTGCAGCACAAGACTGAAAGCCATGTGCCTCCACCCACCTGAGAAAACTGGATGAGCTCTCTCAATACATTAAGTGTGTAATTTTCTTTTTTTTAATATTTTCATAATTTAAAAGAGAAATATCTCTTACCAAAAGCATTTTGGTCAATTCTTTAATCCTACATTTAAAGAGACACCTGAAAATTATGTTTCGCTAGTCAAAACACTTGAGTTTTATAAAAAAGATGGCAGTTTTAAAGCAGTAGAACTGCCAGTTAATCTCACTAGATGGCTAACCAGAGACTAAAAGAAGTTCCAATTTAGATTGCTACGAGACTCCCAACAAGATTCATGTATGCTTAAGAGAACATGATTTGGGTACAAATGTTAATATCATCATGCACTTACCTGGTCTCTTGGGTGATTTAAGCTACCAGGAAAAAAAATGAACAAAGCAATTTTAGACATTTGAAATGCAACTTGTGGTACAATAAAAGCATTAGTCTGAAAAGGAATTGTGACAAATGAAAAGTGAGGTATAATTTTATATTCCAATTTTTTGAATATAATGTTATAACCACTAACTAGAATGCAAAACACTAAATCTTGAATAGTGAACAAGAGTTGACACAGAACATCATAAGGCAAGATACAGAAAGTGAAGTTCTCCCCTAACTTCAAGTAATTCACCAAAATAAAACCAAAACCAAACTTCATCTCATACCCTACCCTCATCTCCAGAGTGTTCTGATTAGGCTTGGAATAAACAGTTCTAAAATAGCCCTCACTGAAGAGAGCTGAAAGTTAACCCCATCATCTCACATAGCTTAAACAAGCCCATTAGCAGACCCTGATTGTAGAAATTTATGGTTCTTACAAAACAGAAGACAGGTTTGGAAAAGACAAATCTTTATATAAATGGGTGCAACTTCACACTTCTCCCAAAGAGCATTCTATGACATAAAACAAAGCATAGCTGCATTACAGAGCAAACAGGAAACATGACCTCTCTTTTAAAACTTAACATCTGACAGGAGTGTGTATCAGTGTCTATGAATCCAAATGAAGTGAGAAGGAAAATGCTTCAGATTCCTATTTTATTAGAATCAGAAGTACTATTTACCCCAAACACCATTTTATGAATGTTAATTCTAACCTGTAGGAATTGGGATTGGGGGAGCACATGGCAGGAAGGAACCACCATCTTCATATGCCTAGTTATGTTAAGCAGTGGAGTACACACTAGAAAGCCAACTTTGGGTGGGATACCTACACAGGGTGACAATTTTCCAGAATTATGAAAAGGAGCAACAGATTAGGCAGATAGGGAGATACCTGATCTACAGAAGTGGTCAAAAAAAAATTTCCCCGCCATGGACCACTTGGAATTTGCTAAGAATCTTGGCAGACCATGTAATGATTTTTCCAGAAAAGCTTAATAGTAACATAGCCTCTTGTAATTTGAACAATCTAATTCACTTTTTCCCCCTCCCCTCCTCCCACCTTCATTTATTCTTGGATCTGGACTTTTAATACTCCAGTCATCTGAAGTGGGTTGGAAAAAAAACTCACGAAAGCTCATGATACCATCTACATGTTTTGTTAATCTTTAAGGTGCTGCTAGACTATTTGTTGTTTAAGTTTTTCCATTAACACATGGATTGGTATTTGCAGACAGAGATCCCTGCTTCAAAGAGCTTGCAAATAAGATGTTTATCCTATAAACTCTTAGTGGTACTCCCTACCCAGTGCTCCTTGTTACTTAGGAGTCAATGGGAGTACTTTCAAGAGTCATAACTAGACCAGATAAAGATCTGGCTTTAGTGGCTGCCATACCTCTCCCCAAACGAAACATCTGGGAAAGTGATTTCCACTTAGTTCTAGCAGTAGTTGTCTCTCCACTTCCACAGTAGCCACTTAGCTGGGATAGGAAAGAAGGGGGGTGGATCAATTTCTCCCCCTTGCACCACAACAGCCACCAAGCTGGAAAAGAGAGCCATCTCTTCCTCGAAGCTGCAATGCTGGAACTGAAGAAAGTCCTCACTTTCTGTGGTCGCCAGTCTTGCACATCCCAAATCCCCTCCAACCCCTCTTCCCCATTACCTACCTCCCTACTGCCCCCACCTCACTCCACTGCCTCTTCCCATCTATCCCTTATTCCATCCCCAAAGCTACCACCTCACTTTACACTTCTCCAAGGTCCAGGCACTTAAACTAGGAGAGTAGAGTTCTTCTAATTAGGTGGCCAGCCTAATTGTGCAGCTCCATTAATTAGGTGGTCAGCCCTTCTTTCCCTTGTGTGGCTGCCCAGGAATGCACCTTAGAAGGAACTACATACATGCAGGACCTCAATGGAGTTCAGACCACAGTTTGAGAACCTGTGATCTAGAAAAAAATATATTCCACAGTGCTGCGCATTAAAAGAGGCTATTTCCTACCTTATTCAGTGTTCTCAGGTCCTCCATTATCTGTTCATCTGTCAGCAGATAATTTAACTGGGGTATTCAAAATTAAGGTACATGGAACCAACACATATTTGACAACCAAAGGTGGAAAAAAAAAAAAAAACCAAAACCAAAAAAAACCACACACACACATACCCCAACAGCCTCCCTTTCACCTGACTAGAACTTTACAAGAAAGAATCCTAAAATGATAATATTCAAAGAGCTGTACCAAGCAAACCTACTTACTATATATTAATCTCCAGAGCTTCACGTAGTCTGTAGCAAAATGTCAGTTCTAAAATAATTTTTGCAACAGGAACATAAGAAACTGGAAAAGTAATACTGGAACAACAATTCTGCTGGCATGAGAAACAAAGGCTTTCGAGCTTATACAAAGCTCTACTTCAGGTGCAAAACTTTTACCCCAAGAGAAGTTTCCCAGGCCTGAAGAAGAGCTCTGTGTAAGTTCAATATCCGGACTCTCTCATGCCAACAGAGTTGTTGGTCCAGTAAAAGATATTACTTGCTCAGTTTGTCTCTAGTATTCTGGGACTGACAAAGCTGTAACACTGCATACTGTTCTAGAACATATCATTTTCAAATACACCAATAAAAATGCTTTAACACGACCTGACATTTATTTTATGAAGGCATCAACCATTAACATTTTCACATCTTTTTTAACTTGCACAGTAGAAGAAGAATACTAGAGCTGCAAGAAGATACCATTGTTCACCTCACATTATGTAGAAGAGCCAAGTTCAATGTTCTGCTCTTTCCTAGAAAGAGAGAACAACAGCGACATGCTGTAGCCCACACACTGGTTGTGAGCAAAGACATGAAAAGCAGAAATCTTCAACGGAAAACATAAAATTAATCATAAGATTAAAGGGAATACCATCAACCTGAAATCTAGTAATTTAATACAATTTTTTGAGTGCAAGTTTGATTTTACAAATCAGTTTTCCTCTTTTTCCTTTTCTAATGTATTACTCCTCTCTGTGTTGATTTTTTTAAACAAAATTATGGGAAACCTACATATGAGAAATAAAATGGATTCTACAAAATGTCTATATACAGTCTTTGTAACCAAAAAAAAATAAAGAAACAGAGGGGAAAAATTCTCTAGTTTTTCTAGGTGTGATCTAAAACATTACTTCTAACACTGACAAGTAAGAACATTCATCCAGGTATGTCAACTTTTAAAACAGAATGTCCCTTCAAAAGGAAAAAAACCCCTATTTTTACAACTTAAGAACAGGAGGCATCACTTCAAGGATGCTGATTTTGATGGGATGCTTGCTGTACTCCTGTGTTAATGCAGTAGCATCCAGGATCCAGTACAACAAAAAAAAAAAAAAAAAAAAAAGTGGACTTTGACCTTTCTGCGTATAACTAGCCTTCCAGCGATGAAGGTGGGCAATGCTGAACTTATATAAGACATAGCCAAAGGTAGAAGCTACACGGAGGAGATTGTAGTCAAGTAGTCAAGCCCCCACACTTAAAAACTGGACCTAGGATCTAGCTTTTGTTATAGTCTTTGGTTAAAGGATCTCAAAATACTGAGCTTTCTTACCCTAGAACTGGTTAGACATGACAGATAAATTGCAGAATGTGCTAGACTGACAGATTAAACCTTTTTTATAATTTCCTTTCCAGTGTGCTACAATATTGGCATACTATACTCTATGTACAATAATCTAGACTCATAAAATAGCACTTGACTGATGGTGTAAAAGGATATCAGGGGCAGGTTTCCTTCTCTTATCTGGGATCGGAACTGGGTCATTTGGCCTCCTTCTCAATTTCCTCGTCATAATAGGCTTCACTTCCATGGAGTCTGCAGAATAATGAAGTTGGACAGCTGATAAAACTACAGGAAGATTTTGAAGAATGTCAGGGAGAGCAGAAAGGCAGCAAGCTTTGATACAAGGCACAAGTCACAGAAAAAACTGGATTTTTCAACATGAGTTGCCAGCACTGAAAAACACTGAAACAGGCAGCAACTAATTTAAAGAGAGACCCAAACCTCTTGATTACTGAGTTAAATACAGCATTGTGATGTCATGGATCAACTATGCCATAATCATGTGATATAAACCTTATTTTAGTGTTTTACAGCTAATGGCAGAAATTTACTACTTTGTCTAGCTGGCGCACAGATTTTGGCTATTATTTCCCCAGGTTTAATTGGAATGTTTTAAAAGTTTGGTTTATAAATATTTTTGCACTAATAATAAAACCTGATGTAGGTGTTTTTTTTTTTTTTTAATTTGCAAGCTATCAACCTCAAATACAGACAAGTTACTTTGCCAATAAATAATTTTTACCACCAAGTTATACTAGGGTGTAAAGAGAAGTAGTACTTGAGAGGCTGCTATAATATGGCTTCTATCTTAGTGCCTCATCTCTGAGCCAAATTTCTACTGAATTGGTCTTGAAGTCACAGAACACATTTAATCTCAGCGGATCACAGACTATACACAGGCCATCTACCACAGACACAAAGCCACCTTGAGCAAGTCAAACCAGCAGTTTAATGATGCACAGGAAAGGAACAGAACTGTTTTGAAAAAACCATATTCAACTGAAACAACAAGGAAAAACCCACTAGCTTTCATTTTTAAACCGAATAGTACTTAAAGTTATGAGTAATGTCAGCATGTTATCTGATAGCAAAAGCACACAAAATAAAATGAAAAAGCTTGGAAATGAAGCTGTAAAATGAATAAATCCCTTAAACTCTAATCTAATTCTTTTGTTAATCTGCTTACTAAATAAATCTGAACACTAAGTAGTTTTTACCATAGACTTTAAGGTTTTCAAAACCAACTGGGGATTTAATCGTTGTTTCCATTAACAGACATGAGAACTGTGACAAAAATCCTTTAGTTATTTCTGAAAAGCTTAGTCATCAGGGACTGGCCAGGTTCTAAGGGTGCCAGACCAGCGAGGTCTAACCTGTACATTGTAAGAGATCCAGTCAGCTCTTTAGCTAGGATGGACTTCTCAAGAACTGCTTCCAACCTTTTCACTAAGGCCCTGGATATGTAGCCAGATCAAGGTAAGTTTTAAAACAAAACAACAAAAAAACAAACAAAAAACACGGATTCAGTTCAACACTTCACTGGTCTGGGATCTATACTACTGAAGTGGAGACAAGGTAAGGATGGATGTCAGTTGTCTCCTATGTCCATGATTTATCTTGCCATTCCAATGATCAATTCAGATGACATTTGTATTAAAAGCAAGTTTTGAGAAAGTGTTTTGAAATTCAAGGAAAGGACATAAAATACAACATACGTATAGAAGGCCTCTGATGGATCTTTATATACTTGCCACATTTAAACTTAAATACAAACTGCATACATTAACACTAATTAAACAGCAGTGCTAAAGAATAATTTAGAACCAGACGTGAATGCTACAAAAGAAAAACTTCCAGGGCTTCAATATACCTTGTTTAACATCCCTCCTCTTGTGAAAGAGGTTACAGTACCCTAGTAACAAGTGGCAAGTACTTAAGTTTTCCATCTTAGGACAAAAGGTGACTCCTCCTATAATAAATCATCTTCTAAAACCACAGTGGAACACTGGATAAATAAATGACTTATTTAAATAAGTAACATATCTAAGAATACTGAAATGCTCCCTGGGCTAACACAAGGAGCTAACCTGGGCCAGCCCAAACTTGCTTTATGTTCGAGGTATTCAAGCATGCTGTTTAAGCCCATTCCACCTGAGATATATATTAGAATCAGGCCTCATTTTAGTACTAACCTTACTTTATGCATAAGATATCCCCAGATTTGGCATACGTATTACACTCTCTTCTACTAACTATAAGTGCTTTAAAATTCTTTGGTAAAAATATTCTAAAAGGAGTGTTATTTTAATTTCCAAGACTTAAAAGTATCAATATGATTTTGTAAAATATTCCTTATATCACGTCCTGTAAGTTCATTACCCTCTCAAATTACTACTTTTAAATAATTAGCTACACAACTGTAAGATTTTTTTTCCCTATCTCTGACTCAAAACTCAGCAGATTTAGAATTAGCATTGAGGAACGCAACTACTCAGATTCACGACTCTTCTTTATAAAAGAGCAATAAGCAAATATAAAAACCCTGGTGCTCTGGAGTTGAAACCACATGTGAACTTATTAAGTTACACCACATGAAAGGAAAACAATTACATCTCAAAAGTAAAAGAGTCCGTCACAGAGGGCTAACGAAAGAAATCCACCTCTACAGGTTCTATGAAATTGTATCAATGTATCCAATGCCGGTTGGCCACAGTCCAATATACGTGAGGTGTATTCATTTACCAAGTTACATGTTTATAATCGATAACAGATGTATACTGGTAATATCTCTCCACAGTCTCTCAATGTTACTAATTTGAGATTGTAACGAACTTCTTCCTGGCTCTAGTCACTACTTTGTATATTGTAACAAGTAGCAGCATCAGCATCTAAATATGGATGTATTCTTGATATAAATTAAACGATTAATTTTGAGAACCACTAAAATGGCATATTTTACTTGTGGCTGCAAAGAACTTAGAAGTGACAGCACTAATTCAAAACAAGAGTGCTAGTCTGGTCAAACTTATGGTATAGATGAATTTCCCAAATTCAGATTCTCATTAGAAAATATGAACATTAAAATACAATGGACATGTCAATTTTCTTTCACTCTAGAAGTCAAGAATAGTTTTAAACTAGTTACTCCAAAAGTAGGTTAATATTTTTTTAACCACTACTCAAAAATGTTGTCTAAATTCAAAACTATCATGACGAAGTAAGTTTTCCCTCATTGTTTTGTCAGAGGCTTAACCTACAAAAATCATAATTGAAAAAACAATGTGCTTCATTTATAGGCATATTATCCCCTCACATTTTAATGATCAAGCTGGGTTGTTCAGATGCTATGCCCTTGTAACTGAATGTATCAAGTGGAATCAGTTGTATTGTTTTTTTACAATTGAAGGCCTGTATAAGTTTTACTAGTACATTTCTCAAAGCCCATCTGAACTGTGTATCAATTAATTTGCTCCCTTATTTTGTCTTCAGATTCTATATAGCCTATCATTTGGTTGTTTTATTACCATAGTTGAATGCTTTGAAAGTGAATTCTAAATATATAATTACCAAATGAGTCATGTTTCTCTGCTTGAAACATGGTTTCCTCTCAAATTAGAGAGAAATCTTGAGGTCAGTGGATATGAGTATCCCTTGATAAAGTTAGCACATTTCTACATACCAGATTTATTTCTGCAGATTTAAGTACAGAAGTAGTTCTCCTGAATTTATATTTGGCTATGCAAATTTTCTTCTATACAGTGTACAATGTGGCTGGACACTATAGAGGGAAAACAATTAATGAAATATTCCAGTAAATGGTAACACTCATAGGCAACGGTTTGTTTACCAGACAAGCTAGAAAGATAGTTACCCTCCAGTTAAGTCAATATCATTTCTGAACTTCTTCACTGTAATGTGGAAGTCACCATAGAACTAACTCAAATAGGAGATGAAGGAAACTCTTAGCATACAAAGCAGATGCAACATGGAAATTACAGAATTTCTACATACTATAAGCAGCACTACAGTGTAATCTTCTGATAAACAATTTTAGAATGCATTAGGGTCTAAATCAGGAGTGGGGAACTTCTTGCCGTGGGCCTCATCTAGCCCACCAAACAATTTCATCCAGTTCTTGGGAGGAGGGGGTCCAACAGCTGTGAAACACCTCAGGGAGGTTCGGGGGGCCACTTAAAAAAACTTCCCCCAGCCTCCTCTGATACTTCCAGTTCCTCTCCTGCATGTGGGAGAGGTTCACACAGGTGATCTGGTGGGAGGGAGAAGCTCCACGTAGTGGAGACTTGCGGAGTATCAGAAGGCGGCAGTGAAAAAGAGGCTGCAGCTGCTTTCCAGCCTCTGAGGGAGTTTTGCTGGTAAGGCGGCATGCAGGACCAGAGGAAACAAGGGAGTGGAAGGTGGGGGGGGAGAGGAGGGAAATCTGTTCCCAGAGTGGGAAGGAATAGAAGCCCTCAAGCCCCTTCCCTGCATGGGGCTCCTTTGGGGAGGAAAGGGAGGCCATAGCAGGCCAGCTCCTCCCTCCCCACCCCCCGAATAGGTTGGCTGCAGCAGGGAACAGCATCTGGAGCCATACACTGGTAGAATGGAGCCTTACACTGCCAGCAATGCCTCCTTAACAGTTAAGGAGGCATGCAGGACCTATGGGAGGGGGGAATCCCTTGCAGGAGTGGGAGGGCAGGGAAGCTGCCCAACCCAGACCCTTCCCTGCAAAAAGCAAATTCAGCCATCACATTAAAATTCTAAATAAAAGAAAAAAAAGTCTCTTTGCAGGTTAGCAGCCCCTGACCCAAAAAAGATTCACTAGCCCTGGATCTAAAGGCTTCTCTTATTTTGGATCTTTATCCTGATTTTTGGTTAATGATTTAATATCATGAGACAGATTTGCTCTTCCACTCAATCTAATGTTGGCCATGTTGCACAAAGCAATCAGTACTCAGATCTATCCATGCAGACTTAATGCTAAAATAATACAACTGTAAGTCAGTCTGCAAACTTGTACTGAAATTATGAAGGCAAGTCTGTATGTGACACCTATTAACACAATATTGTCTCACTCTTCATAAGGTGAGGTAGTCGCTCTTTATTAGAAAGGTGAGATCAGACCTTTGATACAATATCATAGCAGTACCTACCATCTGTGAAGCAGGGTAATTATCCTTTTACCTACCTTCATTTGTGTGAGTTATTTCCTTGGCAATGCTTCCTACATCAAGGGTACCAATTGGTTTCATGAAAGAAATCTGTCCATTTAATGCCCATTTTCCAGAGTTTGAACATAAATGCAATTTTCCCCTTTTCTGTTTTACTGGCTTCTTATGGCATTTTTCAATCTTTGTTTGCCTCTTTAGCATCTGTTACTAAAGAACTCAGAGTCCAGTTTAAATCCTGGCACTACTGGTTAGAGCAACAATGTGGCACATCTGCCAGACTTCAGGTACTGAAGTCGTCCCTTCCTCACAGATGGAATGGGAGGTCATGAGATGACATTTCCCAGTGGCTTAATGAAAAAAAAAACAAACAAACATGAACAGCTGGTGTATGTTCACTAGAATTCAGTGACAAAGATGGTTATAAAGCATTAGCGCCAACTGTCACCATACTATAGGCAAATGAGAGAATCTTTGGGAATATACATGAGGAATTTACCAGGTTTACAGACAAGAACCCCAGATTTCACATTTTACTATGCAAAAAAAGCCACTTTAAGACCTACATAACTTAAAGGTGTGCTGCTGTTAAAGTTGAAAAGCCAACCACTAGGATTTCCTCTTCAGAAAGGGATGTGAATTAGTGTCCTCTATTCCATGGTTCCAAAGGAATCCTACACAATTCCCTCCCTTCTGTTTACTGCAGCAGGAGGGAGTCAGTGTTTATATATGCAAAAAATTAGCTACCAAAAAAGTTTCCTCTCTTGTACTAGGATCTCATTTATTTCTGGTTAAACTTGGTTATTTACAAGTTTCTTCTCTAGGTATTGAACCTTTCAACAACTTGCCTATTTTTCTGTACAAGGCAGCTGGCTGCTGACACTATAGCTGAAATTTTGTTACTGGCCTAGTCACATAGTCCTGTATAAGGTATGAGTGCTAGAGTAATATAAATATTCCAAGGAAATTGGAGTGTGCTCACATACACCCAATGCAGAAAATTTGCCAAATCAAATAATTTGGAACAAAATTTCTCATTGGCCCTTTACACTAGTAAAAAGGGAGGCAACCCAGGAGAGGATAAGTTGATGCTGTGGTACATTCTGGGAAAACATTTTTACCAAATTGGAGTTTACAGGAAAATCCCATTTCTGAGCATTACATCATACTGCTAGCTGCATGTGGGAAACAGTCACCCTTTTTCTCTGTACCCAAAAACTCGATCCCATCTCTGACTCCAATTCCAATATACAGGCAGTCCCTGGGTTACATGGATCCGACTTACATCGGATCCCTACTTACAAACGGGGTGAGGCAACCCTGCACTAGCTGCTTCCCCCCAGCAGACCAGGGAGACGTGGAGCGGCTTTTCTCAGCAGACACCTCAGCTTGAGAATAAAGGACTGAGGGAAGTGAGGTGTGGGAGAATAAAACTGAACTCTGGAGAAATGTTTGGCTAGAGTTTCCCCTACAATATGTACCAGTTCCGACTTACATACAAATTCAACTTAAGAACAAACCTACAGTCCCTATCTTGTACGTAACCCGGGGACTGCCTGTATAAAGAAAACTGCAAAGATGTGTGCCCCTTTCAGAGAAGGTGATCACTGGCATTCCATAGTCAAGAAAGATTCTGACTAACTGAAGTGTTGCACTGTCAGAACTGCCAGCAAAAACTAACTTACGCTACATACAGAAATTGACACTGAAGAACTGCAGAACTATATGGGCTCTGGTAACTCTGAACTTAATTGCTTTGGTCACTTTAGTAAACCAAATGACACAAAACTGTAATTCTCTCCTGCAAGTATTTGTTTTTTTGTTTTTTTTAAATTTTCAGTTAGATAACACCTGGAGTCTACCTAAAACCATTTAAAGCTTCCTTTAGATTGCTACAAAGTGACCTAGCTATGGAACCGTAGTGCAGCAATAGTGAGTGTTATTACCATAACACATCAGATTTTGCAACACATTTTGCCTACTAAGAGCAAAGTCAATACAATTCTAGAGAAATCCTGAAACTATCCATCCAATAATCCTACAAAATTCTATTAAAAAAAAAATCACTCAAATTTAACTATATTGATCCATTAGTGTGAGCATTCTGAAACTAATTAGGTTTTAAAGTCTTGTTACTGATCAGAGACTCAAAGGAAACTTAAGCAATTTTCAAAAAACTTAAGTTTCATTTTTAGAGATGAGACAGATGATTATCTTAATTTACCTCCTGTTAGCTCCATGGTTAGCTTTTCATTTTCAATCATCTTCTTCTTCTCTTCTAATTCAGCAATCAGATTTTCCTTCAACTCAATCTTCTTATCTTCAAACTCTTTCACTGCTGCCTTCTTCTCTTTGATATAGTTTCTCTCTACCTGCTCTGTCTAATACAAGCCAAAAAGAAACAGAGGTCTAAAAAAGAAGCCAAATTATCAGGATTTACACTACTGGTAAACAAGGGAGCTAACATGCTAGCAAGAATTGATTGGCTGTTCTAATCCAAACTAGAGTCCGCTTACATTTTAGTTGAAAAATGTTCAAGAAAATGAACAATAAAGCAAATGACTACACTGGCAAATTCTTTAAACAAAGCAATGCTCAATATTGATACAGTTAGTATTATTTATCTACAAGTTAAGTGGTCTACTCAAACACAGAGCCAATGTAAAAAAGTACTAAAAATAGTCATTTGTGGGAACTAAATAATATTGACTGGTTACTTGAGTAATACAATAGTAGTTTACACTAATTAAAATTGATTACCATAACTGAGATATAGAGAAAAGCTCTACATAGATCTCCCAGAACCCCCCCCCGCCCC